ACTGAGAGATGGTCAGCTTTACAAACAGAAAACAAACGAGTCTGGAGGAGCCCAACACAGGTTTATGAAAGTTGAGCTTCAAACCTCAACGACCTGGTGCAATCCTGATTTCACTTCCCACAAGTACAAGTTAAATGTTTTAATCAGGTTTGGTTACGGTTAAACTAAACTTATTCTGCAGTAGAATAAAAACATATCCAAACAGGTAAACAGGCACAAAGAAAAAAGCTAAAAATCTCCTCAAGGGTCCTGCTGACCGTGTTTTGTAAGTCGGAGAATGTGTTTTTATTTGTCTGGAGATTTTGGTGAAATCTCCACATGACTCCACCGAATGGGGACAGAGCATTCAGCCACTGTTTGGATCTTTTGCAGCAGAAAAGGCTCATTTACCAGATGCTCTGAGTCACCAAAATGCCCCTCTCAGGAAGGTAAACAGGGAACAGCTGGTGGCTGTAATGCGAGGATTGGAGACATGAGTCCACAGAACTTGTGCAGTGAGTTGGTTTTGCAGAAGCTGACAAACTACATTCCTCTTTGCATTTATCACAGGTTATGCTCATAAATTCTTGGAATCCTAATTTGCTTTTTTTCCACTTAGAGTGACTGAACAAATGTAGTAAATTAACTGCAACCAATGCTCCACCTGTTAGAGCAAAATGGTGTTTTATGGGAAAACTGTGAACATGCATAATTTATAACACCAGAAAATAGCTGCAATTTGTGTTGGGAGTGCATGGTAAAAACGACCTTTTGTATATTTACACAGATATTTCATTCTAGTGGTTAGAAGTCCTAAAACAAAACTATAGCTGCTGTTTTCTGCAACTAACCGACCCCTCTGACCTCCATCTGAAGCATTCCTCCGTCTAAACTGGAGTCTCATACTCACACTACATAATATCCACCTGACTGTCTTCAACAGATGACATTTGGTTTTGTGTTTCACACGATCAGTAACATCGTTCATAGGAAAATACAGATTTTATGCACTAGCATCACAGCAGGCTTTCAAATTGCTCCAAATCTTTTCAATCTTCACCTAATTTCCTCTTATTTTATAAAGTGTCTCTGAAAGGAAGAAAATACTATTTGCAAAATGTAGAAAAACCTCTAAGGGAACATATTATGACATTTTTTTCTTCAGTTGTGATAGTTCTATGGATTATACAAAACACGATCATGGAGGTTTTTTAGCACAAATCCCTAAAGCCAGTTGTATTCTTGACTTTTTTGACACCTTCCCTTTCAGGGCTCTGGCCCTTTAAGAAAACAAGCTGTTGTTGGCCACACCCTTCCATCCACTCAAGCTGCTATTGGCTGAGAAACTCTGAATTATCCAGGAGGAACTTGTGGTAGAGCCACTGATCCTGCAGCAGCTTTCTCTCTCTAGCAGGTGAGAGGTGGACCTGCATGCTAATCCCTTCTTTTGTGGCATCACATAAGAGGACTTTCTGAAATGGCTTGATTCAGGCACATGATTACTAAAACCAAACATCGACAGAAAACGGATGGACAGGTTTTGATTCATGTTTGGAGTGTTTATGGAGGCAGCAGAAGCTCACATCCCAGTGAAAAAGATGACAAAAGGTGAAGTGATTTAATCACTTTGTCAGAAATGGTTGTGTTTGAAAGAGACTAAAACAAAAACAGATGGCTCACTTTACTATAATTTAGAAAGATAGCACTACACCCACTGATTTAGTATAGAAAGCAAAAGCATTACAAGAAATATTACCAGTGGAAGCCAGTTTGTACACTTTAAAACTAAAGCAGCTGCTAACAATCTCAGTCTGCACACCTGAGCTGTTCATGTGATACACATCAGGTGTAAGTGGAACCAAATTACTAACAGAGATGTTTCTCCTGACAAACATGCTGACGGAACAGAACACCAGTGTGTGAAAGAGCAGAGTCACAGCTGATCAACAAAACAGGCACATCAGTTCTTCATTTATTACATTCACTCCACCTGAGCTACAGATGATTTGAACCCAGCACCAACTGCATAAAAATACAGTAAAAGTGAAGAGGACATTATTTAGCTACAAATATGTTGGACCTAAAAAACGGTGAGTGGTGTTTGCCACTATCTTGTTTCCTTTGGCCATGTGGGTTTCACGTTCCAGCAGAAGCATCTCAGGGAGGATACCCATGATTCGCTGTACATTCGCTGAAGCAGCTTCACAATAAAGGTCCCTTTACTAACGTTAGTGCGTTATTAACCAATAATAATGAACAATAAACAATTTAATAAAGTATTAACAACAGCTTAACTATGTTATGATAAGCAGCAGCCTCCCCACTTTGTAGTAACCTTAAGGGCACATGGTTAACAATACTGGGAATGTTTTTAAAGGCACCCATAATGTGTTAACAAGCCTTTATAGTTTATATAAGCATGCTGTACCTGTTTTCTGATCAAGAAATGAAATTTGAGTTTGAATACTTTGTGTTTAAACATATTTTTCAATTTAGAAAACAGTTCAAATGAAAGAAAAAACTATTAAAATTCATGAAAGTACATGAAAATTATTGTTACCTACTGCATTTGAGTTTTAAAGCACCCTCTGTGCGCACACGCCCAACTAATCAATCATACTCTGAAATTCTGGTGAAAACTTAAAAGTGCATGCATGCATAAAATAATGAGTATTATTTCAATTCACGTGTGCCTAAAAGCAATTAAAACACATCAAAAATGCTGGTAAGCATGAAAATAAATAGGATGCATAATAATAAAGTAGCAGTTTGCCTAACCTTGTCAGTCACGGAGATGGATTATGACTAATTGCACCGTGACCCCTGCTGGGACGTCACTCTGACAGGATGAACATGGTTCCCTGCCCTGATGGCTGCTGAGCCCAGCTGCAGGTGAGATACGAAAACAAACCTCCTCTCAGCAGTTCATCTCTGCCTGTAGTTGCTCCTTTGTAGGCAGAGTAAAGAAACGCTGCAGCGGCTGGTTTCCGCAATGCACAAAACATCGGTGGCTCTGAAAAGCACGACGCCCTGAAGGGGGAAAAGTGACCCTCTGTTAGAGCGCTGATGTGACAGGACTTAAGCTTGGCCTATGTCCGTCTGTGAGAGGCTGATGAAACACAAAGGGGAAGTTCAACAGCTGCTAAGGAAAGTGCACGTTCACTGATGAAGGAATCATTTCAATGTACAGGAGGGTGATGAGTCATGGTCTTCATTCAGCACTTAAACGATGCTCTCTCAGAGGCTCAACTGATCTTCTCAGGTTTGGTTCCTCTCACTGAAGTCTTTACTTCTTGCTCGTTTCTTTTTAGTTTTCCTCCGTGATGCCAGATTTTCTTGTGATTTGATGTTCTTGAGTTATTTTGAGTTTTGAAAACATTTTCTCAGGTCTTTGGCTCAATTTGAATCTTTGAATGAGGATTTTTATTATAATATTGCTGCAAAAGAGATCTCTGTTCTGTATACTTTTCTACAGTAAGCAGTTTGCTTCAGAGGCTTAAACTAATAGCCTTTATTACATTTTCAGGACTCCACACAGATTTTATTATAAAACAAATAATTTGAGTTCCTACAAAAAAATTTCCTTGAAAATATGTGAGGAAGCAGCACAAAAATGTTTCCAAAGAGGCCCCAGGCCGGATTACATGAGTTCATCCGTTATTGTTCAAAACTGGTTCAGGAATGTTTTTGTTGGATCTTTTAAAGTTGTGGGATTAAAATGTGATGTCTGACTTGGGTTTTGGTCTCTGCTTTTCCATTTTTCTAATTGTTTAAGCCATGAACAAAAAAATAAGAAAAGGCAACTGAAGTTCAAAAACAAACATTTAAGAATGAAGAGTGTTATTTCAAAGGCATTTCTACTTTAAAGACCTCTGGGGCATGAAGCACCAGTCCCCAAAGTCATCCCAGATTTTCACAGAATACCAGTGTGCCAAATGTTAATAGTCTCCCCTCACCCATGCAGCCCGCATGGTGTTTTTGGTTCCGTTCTGTGTTCTTCTTGAGTTTAAATAAGAAGCAGCACCTTGCTGCAGTTTAGGAATTATTGTAGCTCAAAGTTGTTGTTTTCTCACTTCGGAGAAAGAATTGGGGTAACGCGTTTGTGTGTGTGTGTGTGTGTGTGTGTGTGTGTGTGTGTGTGTGTGTGTGTGTGTGTGTGTGTGTGTGTGTGTGTGTGTGTGTGTGTGTGTGTGTGTGAAAGAGAGAGAGAGTGGTGGAAACATTAATGGATGCAGCAGCATGGACTAAAAGGCAGGAATCCTCCTCCCGAGCGCCACCTGCATGCAAAGGGAGCCGCTCCGGATTAGGATAGGTTGGTGTCGCACTCAGCTGCGCCTGACTAGACTTTTGCGTTCGCTTCGCTTCGACTCAAAGAACCAAGTCGTCAGAGTTCCCAGGTTTTCTTCCACTAGAGCTCGTACAGGTGACAAGTGGTCCCAGCTTGGCTGGAATGAGAGCGTTTTCCTCTCCAGAGGGAGTGCGCAGAGTGGGACCCGCCGCTCCTCTGTAGACGTGACGTTCCGCCGCGGACATGTGGCCACATTTATGACGCATCAGCGCCCTAGAGCCGCGTTTCCATCCGCGGGCGCGCGGGAACGTCCCGTTTTCTGTCAAGTTTCCACGGCTGGTTGGTATGCTCATCATGTCCAGCCGGGTCTTTTCTGCGTAGGTGCACAAGTTGCTCGGGAACAACACGATAAGCAGAAGGGTGCGCGTGTAGCGGAGAGGACGCAAACCAAAAGTGACAGCGGCGTTCACGGGGCGTTGAGCGGCTGAATTTACTACCAGCATCATCAGCATCTCTGGGTGAGGAATAAAAAACCTGCGGGGGGACTGCTGCTACCCACTCCCCTCCATCCGCACACTTCTGCTGCTCCTGCACCTGAAACCACAGCTGCGTAAACTTGGCCACTTTTGGCGACGCGGTGCGTGGAGCTGACTGGCTGGATGGATTTGCGGTTTATTGAGGGGATCTAAACATCAGACAATAAATAAATAAATAATAATAAAGGGGGGTTTACTGTCAGCCCCTCTTCCATTATAACCTCAAAATGGATGCCCACGACAGGCTTTGGGGACGCCACTGGATAAGCCACTCATCCGCTTGCCTGCCTCTCATCTGACCGTTTAAAGTTTGGATAATCTGAACGACTGAAAGGTGTAGGATGCAGTCTGGAGCCAAGACGCTCTCGGCAGGTGGAGGTGCGTCACTCTGCTGCCTACTTCTCCTCTGGCTCATCTACTCGCATCTGCTCAGAGAGGGTAAGGACGCTTACAGCTATTTATTCCAGCAGCAGCATTGTCTCTGAGGGCTTATTGGGATGCAGCTGCACACAGTGTGGTCAGATCTTTTGATCCCCAGTTAAAAAAAATCACTTCAGTGTAGAATAAAACTGCCTCCCAGAGATCTGCGCGCTCATCCTAGTCTATTTATGATGACCTTGCTGAACCTCGTGGCTTTTTTGCGTTTTAATTTGGTTTCTTGCAGCTTCTATCATGTCTAAAGTCCTTTAATCTGGCCAAAATGTTGAGATCATATGGGTTTACTCTCTATTCGGAAAATGACTTTAAACACCTAATTTTCCTGACTATCATAAGTCAGACATTGCTAAAAATACACTTTGATGCATCTATAATTGAGATTTAGGTGAAAACGCTACAGAGTGATGGTTGTGATTCACGCTGCAGACTCAGAGACCTAATCTCTGCTTTCAGAGTTTTAGAATTGAGCTAAGGCAGGATATGACCGTGTCCATCTTTTTTCTGCTGAGTAAAGTAAATAAGATTTCTTCCAAATGTTCATGATGAAGCGTCATCAAAGACCAGGCGTTAAGTGCTGGGACTTGTTGGAGGATGTTACATGCTAACTTTACAGATTGGATCTTCTAATCAAGCATTGGCCAGCAGCTTAATTACCACTGTGGGGGAGGGATGCTCCTACATCAATGTCTTTGGCAGCAAGCTGGGAACTAAAGTACACCAGTGTGAAAAATGAACTACCAATGTGTTGAAATTTGTTCTTAATTTCTAGTTTTCTTTCCAAAGGCTGCTGTTATGCAGCTACTCTCACCCCTGAGTGGAGCTGTGATGTCCTTCTCCTTCCCTTCAGCCATTTATTATTGACTTGTTTTCACCTGAAAATGATGTCATTAGCACATTATGGTACAAATTACTCAATCAATCTCTCCTGAACTTTTCATTGATATACTCAGAGTAAATGGTTATTTAAACCCTTGGATGTGATTGGGATGTTGGGATTTTCTGAGCTGAAATCGTTTAAAATGAAACAGTTAAACACGCAGAAACCATAAAACCTTCCTTACAAACGTGATGCTCTGACTGAAGCCAGTGAAGCTGCAAATGCAATTATGTCCATCACAGCTCTGCAGCCATTTCATCACCTTGTGTAAGACCGAGTTGCGTGTATTTATCAGCACACACCACCAATGCATCCAAGACACCCCTCAGTTTCCATGACCCTGAGGCCACATCCAGTGTTGGTAAATTGGCGGGCAGAGGGGCTGCGCTGCCTCCACGATCCCCGTAGTTCATCTGTCATGAAGGCAGGGACAGAAAATCAAAGCACAGCAGCCTCTATCTGTACGTGCCTTTTGGTTCTAGCACAGGGGGCGATAAATGGCACGCCAACTGCTCACTGCTGCCACTTTATCCAAAGACTGATTTGGGAATGTCTGGATTCCCTTATAGGATCTCATTCCAGTTCAGTGCTGTTAGAGGAGCAACAACCACTCAAATGTTTGAAATGGTTTGACAAAGACAACAAACAGAGCTCCAACATGTTTCTGTTTTATTCTAACAACAAATGAAGACAATTTTAAAGTGCTGGTATAACTGCTGACAGCTGTTGAGCCGTCAGACCATTTTACAGGTTTAAAAAAAATTCTGTTTACATTTTCTTTCTCGTACTGTTTCTCCTGCTTACATTGGTCTGGGTTGCAGCAGCAGCAACCCTAGCATGGAAGCACGTCTTATCCACAGTTACCTTTATCAACTTCAATCCCAAAGTGTTCCTGGGCCAGACTAGAGGCATAATCTCTCCAGTGTGTCCGGGGTCAACCCCAGGGCCTCCTGCTGGAAACACCTCCCCAGAGAATTGTCCTGGAAGTGTTTGGACCAAATATCCGAGCTGCCTCGTCTGGCTCCTCTCAACGTGGAGTACCATAACCTCTGCTGCTCCCTGCCAGATGTCTGGGCACTTCACCCTTTCTCTAAAGCTTGGTTTATGCTTGACGCATTTACTTTCCGCTTGGTGACGCGGCTCGCGGTTGGTTCATGCGGCTTGTCTCTGCGGTGAGCCAATATTCTCCCAAACTGTAGGGGGCAGCATGGAGCTCTACGGCATGCATCCAACACTACACCATAGTAGAAGTACAAATTACTGTTTACAACATGGCATTCCAGCATTTTTAACAGCGCCCTCGTCTTTTCCGACAGTGCGAGCTATTTCTCTCCAAGAATTATTAACAACATGTTGATCACGGTGATCTTTGAGAGCTGAATCATACAAATGTCTGTATTTACGAACCTCTGCCGTTCTAGTTCTTGCCAGTCCGCCATGTTTTTCCCCGTCCGACCGTCCGCGTTGTTAGAAAATTTCCTTGATGCGCGGTGCGGAAAGTTTGGGCCGTGCGCAGGAGCGGTGGAGGGGTGTGGTTGTTAAAATGACGCAATTTTGCCGCGCGGAGCCGTGCGATCCTCGCGGACGCGTCAAGTATAAATCAAGCTTAAGGGTGACCCAGATCACCCTGTAGAGAAAGCCCATTTCAGCCACTTCTATTCGGTATCTTGTTTGGTTGGTCCTTACCCAGAGCTCACGACCATAGGTGAACCCTGGAAAGTAGATCAACTGGTAAATCGAGAGCTTTGAAGTTCCCTCTTTACCACAACAGACTGGTTCTGCATCACTGCAGATTTTGCCCGATCTACCTTTTGAACTTCTTCTTCCTTCAATCATGAACCCTAAAATACCTGAACTTAAAGTAGGTCCTCTTCCTCAACCCAGAGTTGGTAATCCTCCCTTTTCTGAGTATGAACCATGCCTCAATTTTGGAGGTGCTGATTCTTATCTCAGTTGCTGCAAGCCTCCCCAGAAAGGGCTGATGGTCTTATTCTGATTAAAGTAAGAGGACTTCAAAAAGCTGAGATGAGATCCTCCTCATACCTAACTCGAATTATGAGCAGAGCCGGTGAGAAAGGGAACCCCTTTGGCCAACCCTCACCAGGAACAGGTACATCGTACTGCTGGATCAGACCTGAATTCATTTAGTACAGAGACTAAATTAGCTAGTAACAATAGGCCATTCACCCCATGCTCCCTGAGTGCCACAGGATGTCTCTGGGGTCATGGTCCTAAGCCTTCTCCACATCTAAAAAACTCATTTACCATTTTTTTCTTTTGCATCATTTAGAAACAGTTGTGATTAAAGGTTTTCCTATTGAAGAATTTTGTACAACACTACGATGATAAAATACAAGCAGTTGTATGTTATTTATCATGATAAATATGGTTATATATTGAGAAAAATACATAATAAAAATAGATTTAAATAATTATTAAACACTCAAAAATATCAAAAATTGGTTCTGTTAACTATCGGTATTGATTCGTAGGTACTGGGAATTGCTATCGTATCGATTCAAAAGTCAAAGGTACCCATATGGCCCTGCGATCCATGGGGGGGGGGGGGGGGGGGGCATCTTGTGCAAGAAGATGCATTCTCATCCACGAGGTGCTCCGCGCGCTGAACACCAACAGAGAGAGTCAGCCCAGAAAGGAGAGATACAAAAACAAAGAGTCCAACGCAGCGCTAGCAGCAGTAGTTGTCATTGTTAATCAGTTGTCAGTGTTTCTTGAGTATTTTACAGACTGGGTTCACTTAAAACAGCAATGACCAATCACGGTTCTTGAGAATCACTATCCTGCCTGTTTTAGATGTTTCTTTGCTACAACACAACAGATACGAGCTATGGGCAAATAACAAGCTTCTGCACAACTTGAGGACATGCTGAAGTGAAAAGTCAACGAGGGAATCAAGTCTATGAGGTGAGAAACAACTAAAATATCCAGGATAGTGGTTCCCAAGTACAACGATTGGGGATTTAATGTCATATATCCCAGTCAATGGGTTTGGAATAACTCCAAATGAGTTGCAACAGTTTGTGTGTGCTGTATTTTAAGTTGGGTGTGACGGCCATCTTGAATTGACTCCATATGTTATTAGTAAAGGTTCATTATTATCGGCACAGTGGTAGATTTGCTATCAGACTCATGCACAGACAGGCAAAAACATTATCTTTCACCTTTTGTAGGCGGGCATGAAATATTTACAAAATGATGCGGCCTCCATAACAGGTAGTCTGGATGTAATCTTATAGACGTTCTATTAACTACGAACTTTACTTTAAAATTGGTAATATGGAGCTGATGAATGATCAAAACATTTATTCTTTAACTATTAGGGGGCGATTTTCATACCTTAAGTCAAATCTAAGGTTCAAGATTCATCTGAACATTTCTTCTGATTTATGTGATTATCATAAAAGTTTTTACTAATAAAACAGTAAAATGTTTGTCCTCTTGACATTGTGTTGATTATGTTCCTAAATACTTTAAAAGCCACGTGAGCTTTGGTTCATTATTAGTTGTTTTGATGTGTTGCATTGATTTATACGTTTTGTATTTAAAGATAATGTGAAGAAGCCATCCCACATCTAAATCAGCAGCTAATTTTGATTTAACATCAGGTAAAGAAAAAGTGCAGAACTAGTCTGTGAAGCTACAGATTTGCACTGACTTTCAGCACACGTCATGATTTTGGTGTCACTTTGATTTGTTTGAATAATCCAATCACCGCACCAATCTAGGCTGTCACCCTGCTGTGCTGCACAAGCTGTCGATGAAGGTGACAGCTCGCATTTTCTACAATATGTCTACAGGCGGTGTCAGAAATTTTTTTACGTGACTCACTGTGGCTTTACAATCAGCGATACATTGGTGACAGACTCTCACAGTCCAAATGTCTTCCACAAATCAGACAGATTTTATCTGAGTAAATGATTCCCCACGATATCATGGTGACTTTTTCCATTTATATCAAATCAGCTCCTGCGTGGGAGACAGAAAATCACCCTGGAGCACCAGAAGGGTGAATATCAGAATCTCCAGTTAGTAATTTCCTTTAAGTCAGCGAGCAGGATCCATCCGTGCAAGCATTAAACTCGTCAGACTACCAAAGAATTGC